TATATTGTTCATTTTTGGAAAATCTAATTTGTATGTTGACACAAATGCAGACAAGATGAGAAAATCTGGTGTGCCTATGAATGTTCTGCTGTGTAATATGCTTTTCTTAATTGTTTTTTAACATGCAGTTAGAATAAATTGTTATAAATGTATGACTTACCACAGCGTAGTAGTTCCCCCTTCCTTCCTTCCTTCCTTCCTTCCTTCCTTCCTTTTTTTTTTATTTTTGCATCACACCCAGTGATGCACAGGGGTTACTCCTGGCTCTGCACTCAGGAATTACCCCTGGCAGTGCTCAGGGGACCATATGGGATGCTGGGAATTGAATCCGGGTGGGCCTCATGCAAGGCAAACACCCTACCCACTGTGCGATTGCTTCAGCCTCTTTCTTTCTTTCTTTCTTCCTTCCTTCCTTCCTTCCTTCCTTCCTTCCTTCCTTCCTTCCTTCTCTCGTGTAGTACTGTGCAGTTCTTCATATTATTTGATTTTTGGATCTGGTCTCTAAAACTATAGACTGTTGGGCTTTTTGTTTTTGTGTGTGGGGGGCACCCCGGCTGTGCTCAGGGCTTACTTCAGGCACTGTGCTCAGGGATCACTTCTGGCCGGGCTTGGAGATCCTGTGGGTTCTGGAAATCAAATTTGGATCTCCCACATGCCAGGCAAGTGCTTTCCAGCCCAAGCTGTCTTCTGTGACAGCTCATGGAGTATATGGATATAGAATATGAACTATAATATATGAATTTTGTGGTAACAGCAACCTTGCAAAAAGCTGAAGAAAATTGACATTCAAAAATCATTCAAATTTTGAGTCTCCTCTGTAGACTAGCATGCATCTTCCCTTCTGAAAATACAAATGTGGAGTGGAACAATTTTTGATCTCAAACTGTTCAAACAGAGGCTCAGTAGCCACTTAGGGATATAAAAATATTATTGAATCACGGTGATTGCCAAGTTATTCCTTATTAACTTTCAGGTATACAGTGTTCAGAACCAGTCCCTTCACCATTGTCCACTCCCCCACCAGTGTCCCCCGTTTCCCTCTTGCCCCCATCTGCTTCCATTGCAGGCACTTTTCCTCGCCACCACCGTCGTGGTGTTCGCTCCCTTAACTCAGCCCCGCACTTCCACCCACGATCATCCTTCTCCCAAAGACGAGTTCTCCTGCTTGCTGTTTCCACTGCCTTCTGCGCATTAGGCCCCTAAGTTCTTCGTATGCGGCACTTGGAGATCATGCTGTGTCTCCCTCTCCATCTCACTGCATTTGGAATCCTCTCTAGACCTGTCCATGCATCAGCAAATCGCACAACTTCATCTTTTCTTATTGCTGAGTGGTAGCCCACTGTGTATATATACACCATTTTTTTTTTTTTTGGCTTTTTGGGTCACACTCAGCAATGCTCGGGGGTTACTCCTGGCTCTGCACTCAGAAATTATTTCTGGCGGTGCTCAGGGAACCAAACCCGGGTCGGCTGCATGCAAGGCAAACACCCTGCTTGCTATGCTATCGCTCCAGCCCCACACCATAGTTTCTTTACGCAGTCATTCATTTATTCTTGGACACTTTGATTGTTTCCAGAGCTTGGCTATTGTGATAGTGCTGTAAGGAACACAGGAATGCAGATGTCTTATTTTTATTGAGTAGGGAATTCAGACATTGAAATTGGGGTAACTCCTTGGGGAGTTGGGGAGCCGATCCTAGTGGTTCTTAGCAGAGTAGTGTGATCTGGGCTCTGGTCATGGTAGCATTCTGCTCAGGAATCACCAGCACTGTACCGGTGGGTGCCTGGGCCCATTCGGTACTGAGGATCAACCTTGAACATGGTGCTTGCTGGGGATGTATGTGTTCTACTACTGAGTTTATCTTTCAGACCCCTGCAGTAGGGAAGGTTTCTTAGTAACTCAGTCCGTGACTCAGTAGGTTGTTGTGAGAACAGGAAAAAAAAAGTAATCGAAGGTAGAGAGAGTAAAGTCTAAAATAAATAATTAAGGTAAAGGTAAAGGCCCTCCCGTTGATCGTCGATTTGCTCGAGCGGGCCCAGTAACGTCTCCATTGGAGACTTTGTTGTTACTGTGTCTGGCATATCGAATACTCTCGGTAGCTTGCCGGGCTCTCCGAGAGGGGCGGAGGAATCGAACTCGGGCCAGCCATGTTGGCCGCTTGTAAGGCGAACGCCCTACCGCTGTGCTATCGCTCCTAATACACTAAGGTAACATTTGAAGTTTTGAAACATTGTTAAGAACATACACCAAGTTTGGATCATGATTAAAAGTCAATTTTATATAAACCAAAACAATCGCGTTTCAGAATGAACTAAAGTGATAAAAACTGTCAGATTTCAAGTCACGATCTTTGAAAAAGTTTAGTATTTGCTATTCTGATTATTTCAGATCCCAAGTATCCATAATTAAATATTTTAAGTAAATTGAACTCAGTAATTTTATTTGAAAAAACTAGATGATTTATCAGGCATTACATCCAGAATTATTTTGTTACATTAGTTTAATGTGAAGCTTTATGTTCAAAATAATGAGTTTAACAAATAACTTTTAGAAAAAATGAATACTCAAATCTTTTCAAAATATCACTCTTTTCCCTAAAGTCTTGTGGTCTTGTTTTTCAAGTTCCTTGTCCAATATTTTCATTTTTATTAATTGTGGGGGCCTCACTGACAGTATTGGGAAGGTCCAGGGCCACTTTCAGTGGTGCTTTAGATACTTCGGCCATCAGGGCCAATGTGTTTTGTGTGTGTGTGTGTGTGTGTGTGTGTTTTAGATGTATTGTTCTCCACCTACACAAGTCACCCTATTTTTACTTTTTTCCTTAATTTATCTTCTGATGCATCAAACTGTGTAATGTATGCTCAAAGAGCTATTTCCTTCCCATGTCTAGCCTGTTTGTTGGAGCAATAGGCCGAAAAGGATAAGAAACCAACTCTTCAGGCACATCGATACTTGCTAGTCTTCTCAAGTTCGTCCTCCCTTCCTCCCTCCTCCCCCCCCCCCTCCCCTTCCATCTTTCTTTCCTTTCTTCCTTCCTTCTGAGTTTAATGCCTGGCTCTGTGCTCGAAGATCACTCTGGGTGGTGCTGGGGGACCATACACAGTGCTGGGGATCGGAGCTGTGCTGGTAGCAGGCACCTACCTCCCGAACCATCTTTCCAGCCCATTCCCAAGTTTATTCAGTTTCGTTGGTTTTCTTGTTGGTGTGATCTCCTTAATCGAACTCTCTATACATCTCTCCCCTCTTTCTCTTTCTCCCTCCCTTCCCTCTCCACCTCTTCCCCCTCTCCTCTCCTCCCCCCCCCCCCAACATTTTGGGTCATATCAGCTGTGCTCAGGGCTACTTCTGCCTCTGCATCACTCTTGGCAGTGCCCAGGGGCCCAGTCTGGGTCTGCTCTGTGTGAGGCATGTGCCTACACTCTGTACAATCTCCCCAGCCCCAAACTCTGCATATTTTATGAATTTATTTCGCCTTCATCAAACTGTATAACATTTGGAGATGTTTTCTTTCTTACTTAGTTTCTGCAGCTGTACAGTAGGGACATGAAGGCAAATCGTTTTTCTGACTTCTGTGGCGGTCATGGAATGCTGTTTTCTTCTACGTTATTAGGTGAGGTTGTCATCTCCTGTTCTGACTTCCTAGTTGCAGAAGGGACTAGAGCACGGACAATCCAGTACTTGTCTTTGTACCATCCTTCCCGTACCTCGTTCCTACTTATCTTCTCCCTCACTCAGCCGGGTTGTTGCTTCCCTGAATGAATCACACCTGTTGTTAGTGCTCTTCTCCCTTTTCTGCTCCGAAGTCTTTTTCACCGTTCAGAGTGCTTTTTGGAGGCTGGAGTATAGGGGTCAAGGCAGATGCCTTGCGTGTCGCCAACATGGTTTGACTCCCAGCACTCTGTGGTCTCCTGAGCATCGCTGAGTTTTGCCCTGGGGCTTTCGAGCACCACTGGGTTGGTGCAGGTGCTCCCAAGCACTGTGGGAGAGCCATAGTGCCTTGGACTGACTCCTACGTTGAACTGCCACCTGGTTTGCGTAGGACCCCAGGGGTGGTCCCTGAGCTCCTCACAGCTGCTTAGGGGACTTCCCTCCTCCAAAGTGATTTTTGCCAAAAGAATGGGAATTACTGAAATGTAAAATAGGTGTGTGTTGCGGGGGGAAGGCAGTGTGTAAGAGCAAATCAAAGTATGTACGAATTTGGAAATCAGTTATTTTCTTTCTCGGTGTTTTAATTCCTTGCCTTCTTCCCCTTCTCCCTTCTCGTTGTGTGATGATAGGGGTTCCACACGTAGCTGGATGTGGTGCTTACACACTTTCCGCCTTGGCCAGGGTGTTCAGTAGGGTGTGCCCTCCTTTAGTTGGTGTGATTGCCTGTTTACTCACCTGGGGTTGTTCTTCCTGCCTGTATGCTACAGGAGAATCTCAGCTCTCCTGTAAAATGGGGGTAATGATGCTTATTTAATGAAGTATTCATTGGAATTAAGCAGGGTGTAAAAAGTTATTATCAGGTAGATGGGTCATTAAGTAACCAGTTACCTTCTTTTCTTTACCTAACAGTACAGATTCTTCTTTAGGGCTAAAGCTTTTCATATCTATGAAGAAATACTGTTTGCTGATAAATACAGTGAACACGGTAGTTTCAAATTCAGTTTGACAAAGTACTGCTATTGCAAGTCAGCTACTTTGCTAGCAGATTAAGTCAAGAGGGGGTTATATATATATATATATATATATATTAGCTTCTTATCGCTTTTGGCATATATAGCAGTTTATATAGCAGTTTTGAATTTTGGGTGACTAACTAGGGGGAAACAGCTTTTTTAGAAGCATTATTATTTATTTTAATTTAAAGGCCATGCCTACCAGACGGCTTTTGAACAGTACGACTCATTTTTATTTGGAGTCCTCCAGAGGTACCTTGTGCCCTGTCAAGTTCAAACATGAAATTAATATCATGCCTCCCTCACAAATCTTTTCCTTCTTTCTGCATTTTTCTGTAGATTGATACACCACCAGGATTGGAATTGCCGTCATGGTACCCTGTTATAAAGCAGGAAGGTGATCAGATTTCTCAGACACATTCATTTTTACACCCCAGGTGAGTATTTGCTTCTTGATTTCAGTTTATTGATTCATTAATCAACTTTGTTAGAAAAAGAATAAAAAGAGAATGTGAAGAAATTGTAAGTTGTATTGAATATTTGAGATAGCCTGTTAGTGGTGTTTCTATTTCTAGGAAGAAACTGTTCCTGGAGCTCAGAAAGTAGGATAACTATAGAGTACTTTCTTTGTATGAATGAGACCCTGGGTTTGATCCCTGTTATTTAAAAAAAAAAGGTCATTTCCTTTTGCCCCACAGTAAAAAATTATGGTTTAATTTAATTTTCTTATTTTCTTTTGAGAAGTAAGACATTGAGTGTGGTTTGCAATTTTCATATTTTAAAAGAAAAAACTAGAAACCTACATTTAATCATAGTGACATATTGAACATTAACAGCCAAGACCCAGAGACTATAACACCCACCTCCTGGAAGCTTATTATATTTGCACAGTTTTCTAACATTTTTATTTAAAATCTGGGCAATATTAAACTATCATTTTTTTATAGGAAAGCTGAGTTTTTATTCTCAATTTGATTGATAAAGAGGAATAATAATGGATTTTCTATACTTTTTCTGGTCTGGAGCGATAGTACAGCTTGTAAGGCATTTGCCTTGCATACGGCCGACCTGATCGGCCCAGGTTCGATTCCTCCACCCCTCTCGGAGAGCCCAACAAGCTTCCGAGAGTATCTTGCCCGCATGGCAAAGCCTGGCAAGCTACCCATGATGTATCCGATAATGCCAAACACAGTAACAACAAGCCTCACAATGGAGATGTTACTGGATCCACTCGAGCAAATCGATGAACAGCGGGAGGACAGTGCTACAGTGCTATTATTGCTGTTGTATCAAATAAGTTGGAACTTTGCATTATACTTGATGTTTTATGTGTCTTTTTTTTTTGCCTTTCTTTGTCTTCAGCTACTACTTATACATGTGTGATAAAGTGGTTGCCCCCAATGTGTCACTCACTTCTGCTGCATCTCAGTCTAAAGAGGTCACAAAGCCAGAAGCAAGTAGAGCTACGTCAAGACAGTCAGAGAAGCCTCACAGTAGTGGGAAACATCAGAAAACAGTGTCTTACCCAGATGTCTCACTTGAGGAACAGGAGAAAATGGATTTAAAAACAAGTAGAGAATCGTGTAGCCGTTTAAAAGGTAAATATTCAGAGGTTATCTTTTTAAAAACAAAGGTTATGTATTGTAAAAGTATCTCGTATTTAGGATAATTTTTTCTATTATTGAAGATTTTACTTAGGGAAAAAAGCCATCTTTCAAAACTCCTGAGATGTTACTTTGAGCCTCGAGTGCTATCCTTTTCTAGAATGGTGTTAGCCCTTGAGGCTAAAGAGATAGAAATGTATAGACTGTAAGTCTTTAGAGTGTACCATAATTCTTAACTTTCATAACCTTCCTGCCTTTTTTCATCTGTCAGATTTCTTTGGTAGGTTCTTATTTTTCTTCGTATCTTGCTGTGAACTGAGAAGCCATTTTTATCAGTAAGTGAAAAAGTAAGTAAAGGCCCTCCCGTTGATCATCGATTTGCTCGAGCGGGCCCAGTAACGTCTCCATTGGAGACTTTGTTGTTACTGTGTCTGGCATATCGAATACTCTCGGTAGCTTGCCGGGCTCTCCGAGAGGGGCGGAGGAATCGAACTCGGGTCGGCCATGTTGGCTGCGTGCAAGGCAAATGCCCTACTGCTATTTTATCAGTAATACGAAGAATAGTTAGGTATAGGATTTAGGGAATACAGACTGCCCAAGGACTGAAATTCACAGCTGTGGGAATCAGGCAGATGGTATAAATTCAGAATGCTGGTTGGACACCTTAAAAAAAAAAGGAGCTGCTTGGTTACGGTGCCTTTTAAATAGTGTGTACCAAATAAGAAATATCTGTCCAAATGTTGCTTGGGTTAGCCTCCAGGTAGCAGCAGTGCTTGCTTTTATGGCGGCAATATAATAGCTATTTTCGGCTGTCTCAGTAGTTGAGGAGTTCTATAGTTATTTGATTGTTTTATATAAATTTTTGCTTCTTGAGGGTTTTCTTTTTTTAATTTTATTTTTATAAAGTTGTTTATAGTAATTTATTATATTCAGTTTATTATATTCAGTATTCAAGCACCAGTCCCACCACCATTACATCTTCCCACCACCATTAATCCGAATTTTTCCACCACCACCTGAGCCTTCCTCAAAGGCAAATCCTAACTAATTCATTCTGGATTGCTTGTTATGAATAGTCTGCTGAAAATTATTCAAGATGAATAATTTCCTTAGGTGAAAGTGTACGGAAATTGTTGCATCTCACATTGGACTTTGTATATGAGATTACTAACATGTTGTTACAGGTTGAGCCTTGTGTGCTTTTTTATATTTATGTATATACATAAAATATTATATATAATATACACATATATATTTTTTAAATCAGGATCTGCTGCCTTTTATTTTACACCCCATCAGATGTGCTACTCTTGGCATAAAGTATGAGATGTTGCTCCAGGAATTCTAAAATTTTAAATAGGGTGCTAAAGCTGGAGATAATTTTTAACTTTATGGTGACTTTGGGATCCAGCGGCATCTCTGCAGCCTTGTTGCTCTCTTCTGAGATTGGTTTGTGAGTCTCTGGACCAGAGGGCCATAGGCAGTTCGTGGTTGTGACTGCCAGACTTCTGGAAGAACAGAGGGATAAGCTTTCTCATTCTCTTGGGGGTTTTCTGTACTTTAAATTTTTAAAATTGTAATATAGTAACTGCTACACAATGTTCGTGGTTTTCTTGAAGCTACTGCACCTCAGCACCACCAAAGTGTTCTGAAGCCTCCACCAGTGCCCTTACGTTTCTTCTAAGCCTGCCTCTGCATTGCCCCCCATCCCCTGAAAAAAACTTACTTTTCAAGATTTTTATATATCTATGTTTTTTCACTTTAAATATGGCAACCTGTTAATTAGTAATTTCCTGTTAAAATTTATTGTTAACATTCTCAGAATAATTCTTGTGACTTCAACTTTTTTGACATAATTTGTATGTTACGTAATTTAGTATTTTAAGATGTAAAATTTAGTAAATTTCACAGAGTTGTACAACAATCACGACCATATAATTCTAGCACATTTTTATCACTCCCCATCACTCCCCACAAAACATTGTAATCATTCATTTTTTTTTTTTTTTTGGCTTTTGGGTCACACCTGGCAATGCTCAGGTGTTATTCCTGGCTCCTGGCTCTGCACTCAGGAATTATTCCTGGCAGTGCTCAGGGGACCATAGGGGATGCCGGAGACCGAGCCCAAATCCCACGTGCAAGGCAAATGCCCTGCCTGCTGTACTGTCACTCTGGCCCCAGAATTACTCTGAGTATTTCCCCCCTCCTCTTTTCTGGGTTTTGGGGCCATACCTCACTGCTAGTGGCTGCTGCTCTTGGTGTTGGGGGAGCTCTTCTGGCAGTTCTTGGGACCAGGCAGGACTGGGGGTTGAACCTCAGCCTCAGGACTTCTCCATGCTAAGCTTGCTCGCTAACCCACTGAGTTGTATCTCTGGCTTTTGAGTTTCTATGTTGATATTGTGTATAAAAGGGATTTATTATGTGCAGCTGTTTGTTGTCTGACTTCTTAGTTACTTTCATTCCGTGTTATAGCATTTATTAGTATTATTTTTTATGGTTTAATAGGCTATTGGATGCGTTTCCTTTTGATTATACGTGTATCAGTTAATACCCACTTTTTGGCTGCTATTAATAATGGTACTATGAACACTTACTGGAAATTAGTTTTCCAAATTAGCTGTATTCACGCCAATTTATGAGGGTTCCATTTTATGTCCTTTCAACACTTTTATTATGTGTCTTTCATAATCCCATCTTTCTGTAGCACTGTCTGTAGCACTGTCCTCCCATTGTTCATCGATTTGCTCGAGCAGGCCCAGTAATGTCTTCATTGTGAAGCTTGTTGTTACTGTGTTTGGTATATCCAATACTTCACGGGGAGCTTGCCAGGCTTTGTCTTGCAGGCAAGATACTCTCGGTAGCTTGCCGGGCTCTCCGAGAGGGGTGGAGGAATCGAACCTGGCTTGGCCAGGCCGGCCACGCGCACAAGGCAAATGCCCTACCGCTGTGCTATCGCTCCAGCCCTTGGAGAGTTTAACAAAGGTTAACCCCATCTTAGTGGTTGTAAAGTGGTATAGTTTGGGTTTTGATTTGCATTTCTACGGTGACTAATGATGTTGTGTTTTGTATATGTTGGACATTGCATCTTTCTTAGAGAAGTACCTACTCAGATTCTTTGTTTAATAAAGTTTAGGTTATTAAACTCATTCTTTTTGGGTGGTGGTGGTGGTGGGTTTTGGGGCCACATCCAGCGTTGCTCAGGGAACCATACTTATGTGGTATTGTCAGTCAAACCCTAGTTGGCTGCATGCAAGGCAAGCACATACCTTCCTATTCGTACATCTCCCGCCCCAATCTTATTCTTGATACGTGGATACGGTGGTCTCAACACTATTTGTTCAAAAGACGCCTCTCTTGATTGGAATGTCTTTGCACCCCTGTTGAAACTTATTGCTCATAAACGACTGGGTTTTAGGCCTGGGAAGATGACTCAAGCAAGAGATGGGAGCACATGTTTTGCATGTTTTACATGGAGGTTCGATAGCACAGCGGGTAGGGAGGGCGTTTGCCGAGCCAGGTTCGATTCTTTTGTCCCTCTCAGAGAGTCCGGCAAGCTACCGAGAGTATCTCACCCACACGGCAGAGCCTGGCAAGCTCCCCGTGGTGTATTCAATGTGCCAAACACAGTAACAATGAGTCTCACGATGGAGACATTACTGGGCCCGCTCGAGCAAATCAATGAACAACAGGAGGACAGTGCTACAGTGGTACAGTGCATGTAGGTTCAATCCTTAGCATTCTGTAGTTAGTTCTCTGGGTACCTCTGGGAATACTCTATACGCGTTACTTGGGATGACTCAGAAAAGAAAAACTAAGAAAAAAAATAAAGTTTGGGTTTACTCCTGGAATTAATCTTCTTTTTTCTTTTTGGGTCACACCCGGCGATGCACAGGGGTTACTCCTGGCTCTGCACTCAGGAATCACCCCTGGCGGTGCTCAGGGGAGCATATGGGATGCTGGGAATTGAACCTGGGTTGGCCGAGTGCTAGGAAACACCCTACCTGCTGTGCTATTGCTCTAGCCCCTGGAATTAATCTTTATGCCAGTACACATACAATGTTTTTGCGTGTTTGTTTTTTGAGTCGCACCCTTTTGGGGGGCCTACTCCTGGCTCTCTGCTGAAGTATTGCTCCTGGGTAAGGGTTGGTGGACCATATCTGGTGCTGGGACTTGAATACAGTCTGGCAAGGCCAGTGTTCTACCTGCTGTACTGTCTCTCCAGTCCAATACAGTCTTAATTTTGTAGCTTTTTAATAATTTTTGAAATTAGAAATTGTGAGTTCTCGAACTTTGTTTTTGTTTTTTTTTTTAAGAGTGAATTTTTTACTATTTTGGATCCCTTCATTTTGCATTTTTGAACCAGCTTGTCAGTTTATGCCACAAATGAGAATTTTGGTAAATATTGCATTCACTTGTGATTATTATAAGATTATTACCATCCATTTTAGACTCTTTGGGCTGATATAACAAAAATACTATAGATTGGGTGACTTATACAACAAACATTTATTTCTTGTACTTCCAGGGGCTGGAAAGCCCAAGATCAAGAAAGCATATTTAGTACCTAGGAAGAGACTGCCTCTTGGTTCATAATTGCTATTTTCTCATTGTGTCCTCCACATCACTGATTGATAGGTAGGAATAGAGAGATCTCTTGGGTGTTTGTTGGTTGTAAATGTCTGTATCCCATTATAGGGGTTTTGCTCTCATGATCTAATTAAACTCCTAAGATCCAATCTCCTAATGATCACATTTGGGTTAAGTTTTAAAAAATAGAAATTTCGAGTGAACTCGGTGACAATTAGTTGAAAACATAATTTCAGCAGTTTGTAAGGTTGTCAGTTCATGGACATGGGCTATCTTTATAAATGTACTGCTTTAATTAAATTCTATTATTAACATACTTTTCTTTCTCTTTTTTTGTTTGTTTTGGGGGCAGACCTAGCTGTGTTCAGGGCTTGCTCCTGGCTCTCTGCTCAGTGACTACTCCTGGCTGGGCTTGGAGAACCATATGGGGTTCTGGGGATCCTGGGTTGACTGTGTGTAAGGCACACTCCACCCTCCGTACTATCACTCTGCCCCCCACAATCCTTTTCTTTTTATGAATTTTTATTTTTAATAAAGCACCAGGCTGGAACAGTAGCACAGCGGGTGGGCTTTTTCGCCTTGCATGCCGGCGACCCGGGTTTGATTCCTCTTCCCCTCTCGGAGAGCCCGGCAAGCTACCGAGAGTATCCCGCCTGCAAGGTAGTGCCTGGCAAGCTCCCCATGGCATATTTGATACACCAAAATAACAGTAACAAGTCTCACAATGGAGATGTTACTGGTGCCCTCTCGAGCAAATTGGTGAACAACGGGAGGACTGTGCTACAGTGCTAAGGATGTTATTTGTTTTTTAGAATTTCTTTTTGATTGCCATTGTTTTTAAATTTCAGATGTTGATTGTCTTTGTGACTTTTTAACAGTGAATTTTACTTTGTTTGCTTCCCAAAGATCCATCCACCTCAAACACTTCTACTGGTAAAAAGAAACCTGAGTCTGTTAGTTGCAACTTGGTCAGAGAGTCAAGCAAGATGGAAATTGACCATGATGCTCCAGCTTCGACTTCACATCTCGTCAAAGACATTATTTGTGAGGATGATAAAGGAAAAATCATGGAGGAAGTAATGAGAACTTATGTGAAACAACAAGAAAAACTGAACTCTATTTTGCAGAAAAAACAACAACTTCAGATGGTAAAGTTCTTATCTAAATCTTAGTCAGATTATTCCAGTTCTCTTTCTCTCCCCCTACGTGGGGTTTCTCCTGCCTTAGAATTCAAATCTCAGTCTCTTTCCCTCTTTTTCTTTCTCTTTCGCTTTCTTCTTCCCTTCCTCCTTTCCTCTCTGTCTCCCTTTCCCTCTTCTTGGGGCTTTAGTGCTTGCTCCTAGCAGTGGTCAGGGGACCATGTTGTGCTGGTTATCAAGCCAAGGACTTCTGCGAACAAACCATATACTCCAGCCCTTTGAGTTATTTCCCTGACTTTTCGAAGTCAGTATCAGATGCTGCAAATGTATTTAGGATTATTCAGAATTTTATACTGTTGGTTAGAGACTGTGAGAGAAGTTGAGATGAAAGCTAAATTTTAAATAGCTTTTGATTTTCCTAGGTAGCCTTTACTTTTTAGGTATTGGGTATCAAACCATAGACTTCATATAGACAAGTCAGGAACTCTACCACTAAATCACATACTCAATCCCTGAATCAACATTTTTAACGTGATGGAAAATAAGTAAACATTGTTTTGTAATTCTTTTCATGCCAGGAAGTTGAAATGCTGAATAGTTCTAAAGCTATGAAGGAACTCACTGAGGAACAGCAGAATTTACAGAAAGAGCTTGAATCTTTGCAAAATGACCATGCTCAAAGAATGGAAGAATTTTATGTTGAACAAAAGGATCTAGAGAAAAAGTTAGAGCAGGTTATGAAGCAAAAATGTACCTGTGACTCAAATGTAGAAAAAGACAAAGAGGCTGAATATGCAGCACAGGTAAGAATTACTGTTACTATGATGTTATCGCTTTTAAGATGAAAATTGAAATTGTTAACCCTTTTACTCAAGAAAATACTTTTTTTTGTCAGGGTCGTTTCAGTCAGCTCTTTTGTTAAATATAACCTTATATTACCCAAAATGACCTTTTGATCTTGAGCATGTTACCATAGACAGACAGCCAGACTAAACTGCTAATTTCTAGCGATCTGTCAAAAATCATATTACTTTAATTTATATGAACTTTGAAAATAACAAAGTCTGTTGCCTTTGTGTTCAAAAGCACCAGAATGAAAAGGAATAGTAACTCCCAGCTTGGAAAAGATGAGCCAATAACTCACATGATGAGGAGACTCGGATGAGAGGCATATTAAAATGTAGGGTGTAATGAAAGTGCTCTCTTTAGATACAGAGTGATCTCACTCATGTGTGTGACTTAAAGATATACAGCAAGGTAGCAACAGAGGACAAAGGCCACATGAGAGAACTGATGCACAAAGGAGGAGGCATTGGGTCCTTGCGGGAGAGAGGCAGGACACCGCTGATGGGTGTGGTGTTGAAATGACGTACACAGGAAACCGTCATTAGCAATATTCTAAATTACAGTATCTCAATCAGTCATTTTCTTTAAAGTTAAAACTCTAGATGTTGGTTCTCTTGAACCTTTGTTTTTCACCCAATGTCATACGGTAACAGTTTTAAGACATTTAAGATGGCGAACAAGCAGTAGTTCATTTTATAAAAAGTACTAGAATATTGGCATGATGCGGAGATTGATTCGAAAACCAAAACTTAATGAAAACCAACGCGGAGTTTTTTTTTTTTTTTGTCACACAGCTGGCTGAGCTGAGACAGAGGCTGGACCATGCCGAGGCCGATAGGCAAGAACTCCAAGACGAGCTCCGGCAGGAGCGGGAGGCAAGACAGAAGCTGGAGCTGATGATAAAAGAGCTGAAACTGCAAATTTTGAAATCATCAAAGATTGCTAAAGAATAGAACCTTTTAAGGAGATACATTTGTATATTCTGAACAGGGTTTATTTTTCTTTTTTTTTTCCCTTTGGTAATTGAATTCTGAACAATTTCCGTGCACAAAAATAACTTGACAGTCTGTCAATTTGTAGATCCGAGAAAATGAAAAATTATATATTAGTACCTAACTTTTTACATTTTCCAGATGAATGAAAACGTCTGTTCGTTTGTACTTTCCCCCACGTCCAGTTTAGTAACAAGGCTATGTGGTTTCAATGAGTAAATAATCTGCCTATATTTCTAATGCAAATAAATACCTACGACTTGTATACTTTTTAAAATCTTCATTGCATGATGGAAAATAGTTGTCAATATTGTTCATATTGCAGACACAATTTTAGATACATCAGAAAATTAAAATATATATAGTCACCTAAGGTGACTTCAATTTGTTTTGTTTTTGCTTTTTGAGTCACACCCAGCGATGCCCAGGGGTTACTCCTGGCTCTGTACTCAGGAATTACTCCTGGCAGTGCTTGGGGAACCATATGGGATGCTGAGGATCGAACCCAGGTCGGCCATGTGCAAGGCAAACGCCCTACCCGCTGTGCTATGGCTCCGGCCCCAGGTGACTTCAATTTGAATCATCAACACAATATCCCTTTTTAAAGTTGATACAGTATTCTCATTGTTATATACAAAATATGCCTTTGTTTTCTTCAGGTTGTGGGATAAATTTTCATAATAATTTTTTAAAATGTCTTCCTAAGACACTTGTCAAAAGAGAAATTCCACGGATGAAGTTGTAGTCCATCCAGTGGGCATATTGAGGAAGGATGGCGTTCATTATTATTAACTGCTGCTAAACAGGAGGAGCAGTTCTTCAGTTCAAGTATGGTTTTATTTAGAAATTTTTTTTATGCAGTGATATGAGAAGAAATGAGATGAAGTAATTTCTGACCTGCTTTGTTAGTAATGGCGTGGAAATATTAATGTTTTTGAGAAAAAACCAATGCTATTGATGTCTGTCAACTTATACACAGTTCATAATCTTCCTGTACAGTTTTTATATGTAGTTATGTGTCTTACTGAAATTTATATAATGGATTTGTTTTCTTTAATGTATTTGTTTTACTTTACGTTGTAAAATATTAAACACCTTCAAGATTATTTTGAACTTTCATGTTTAAATGTTAAGTTTTACCAAACTTTGCACGAATGGACCATTTTCAGTTGCTACTTAATATCAGTATCATAAATTTATAGCCAACTGGGAGTATATGATAGACTAATATAGAGAAGTTCAGTTTTCTGTTTCTAAATGATTTTTAGCTAATTTTTAGGAGATAATGGAATTCCAGTTGGGAAGGGGCAACATTGTCTGTCTGCACTTTTCTGTTTGTTTTGTTTTGCACAGAAATTTTTGTCATTCTTACTGGCAAAATTTCGTATTTGTTAACTCTTGGCTTAAAAGATATTAGGTAAAATTTTTGATATGCATCTTTTTAAAGAAAATTTCCCCAACTACCGTTAATTAACATTGTCTTGTGAATTTGTTTTCACATGTTCTTCTATAAGGTACTATGTGGAATTACTTGAGCTAAATTTATTTTTAAAAAATAAATTAGCTAGGGTTACGGTTGTATTCCCAGCATTGAAGTTAGATACTATGGTGGTATAGAAAACTGCAAAAAAAAAAAAAGCTTTTCATTTTACTTGTTTTCATATTTTTCTTCGTGGTACTTACATATCGTAAAATAATTTTTGTACTTCCCAAAGTATGGTTTCTTTTTCTAGAGTATGATCTAAATGTGTGTTTTCTATCTTCAGTTTAGACTTTACCTATTAGTCTTGTGGTCTAATTTTCTGATTCTTGGAGCTTCCACAAGGGGCACAGTGTTAAAATGGCTTTCAGGAATAAATTTTTTCAACGCTATCCCCACCCAATATCATTTATTTAGGTTTTGGGAATGAAATACCACCTATGTAGTGATAAATTTTCATTGTAGTTATCAGTTGTGTAACAGCTAAGGGTATTTTTTTTTTGAGACAAAGTCAAGCCCCTTTAATTTTATTTCCCACACAGCAATCAGGAACTTTTCTGCATATGTTATTTAATAAATGCTGAACCTACTTAAGTCTCAGCCCACAACTTTGAAAGTAAATTGCTTAATATTTGAAATCCATTACTTTGACGATATTGAACGTTAATTTTTAATTTGGAATTGAATAAATTTTTTTTTCTAGTCCTTCATATAATGAAAAATTCCCAATGAAAGTATAGTATTATTTTCCAGAAGATTCATTGATGTGCTTTTAGTCAATTGTAAATATTATAGCTATTCTAGTTAAAAGTAATTTTAAGTTAATCTGTACCGTATAGCTTAAAAATACAGATTTTTTAAAAAGTGACCTCTGCTAAAGTATCTTATTCATATAAACTTTTTATTCTATTATTTGCATGCTCATTATGTGTGTTGGTTGCTAGCTTAATATTTGTTTGGTGTTTTTGTGTACCAATTTATTAGGCAGATTCTTCCTCAGACTTCATGATACTCTGTTTAGGAAAAATATAAACATTGTTTTACTTAAAAGAGCTTCATTAAAGGAAATGTCTATGAAAAAGGCTAGAGCATCTTTAGAAGGAAGAAAAACTACTAGAATATTTGCTTATTAGGTAATGGGTGATATTTAATTTTGATGCTGATAGTTTCTATAGTCTAAGCTTTATGAGATAAAGTACCAAATCTATAAAGATGAGGAAGTTCTAAACCACCCTGATTTTTCAAATGCAACTTGTACACTTGAAAAAAATTTGATCAACAATATAAATTTGACTTGTGCTTTAGTTTTGTAAGGCATATTCTTTTGCTTGAATTTCTGTGTCCCTAAGGATGTTTTACGCTTCTTAAGCTAACTTTATAACATATTTAATATATTACACTTTTAGGTATAAAATCATTTGTACATATTAAATTAAAAACCAGTTACTAAAGTAGGTGAAATAAATTGAGTACAATGATATTTGTAGGTTATCCATATATTTTAGTAGTCATCACAGAACAAACAGGCCCTTTATTTGCACGTCTGTGACTTCTGTTTGAAAGTAAAATGTTTGAAAGGAAACTCATGAAAAGCAGCTCAGAGTATTTCCCTAAAAATTAACTGTAAGTAGGTGCTGAAGATTTTGGGTCAGCTTCAAACATTTTCTTCTCAATGAGAAGATATGTTTTGATTACTTAGGGAAGAATCCTCATTTTTATTGCTTTTAGGCGTTTAATCCATACTGTCCTCCCGTTGTTCATCGATTTGCTCGAGTGGGCCCAGTAACGTCTCCATCGTGAGACTTGTTACTGTGTTTGGCATATCGAATACGTCACGGTAGCTTGCCGGGCTCTCCGAGGGGGGCGGAGGAATTGAACCCGGCTCGGCTGGGCCGGCTGCACGCAAGGCAAATGCCCTACTGCTGTGCTATCGCTCCAGCCCATACTATGATCCATATTATAGAACATTCAACATTAATAAGAAGTCGTGCTCATACTGTACATCTATTTCTGTGCTTGGAACTACTTGTTAATAGTTTTTATTGATGCTATCAGCAATAAGGGACACATTACTGCTGTACTATATATATTGTGGGATTTAATAATTTAAACAGCTTAAATTTTATTCTAGCATAGGATACCCTAAACCTTTCCCTTATTGGAAGAAAGTCACATGGGTATTCAAAATACTATCTTATTTAAAGGACAGTCTCTATCTCCTTCTCTGTCTCTTTCGCTCTCAAATCTTTTCATATAAATGGACTCTAAATTACATAATGCAATTTGGAGCCTGTTTCTGCAGTAATAGAATTGAATATCGTACATAGTGTTACTCTTTTTGAATTAGTGCTCAACTGTAAAAGCAAATTTAAAAATTATGCCCAAGAAAACAACATAACTTAGTTAAATGTAAAATTAATAGATTTTTTTTGTCAATATAGATACCTCACTTGAAAATAAAGCACAGCAGACTTTAAACGTACTTGCTTTTAACTATCCTATTAGAAGTATTTGTTTAACCTGATAAATTTAGGCCAACTACATTAGTCTTAAATTATTTATGAATTTATAATCTGAAGGCAAATTAGAATGAATAAATGAAATATCTGTTTAGCAACTGTTAAACTGGTAAACACTTTGGCCATAATTCCATTACAGTTTTTTGCCAATGATGTACAGTTTTATGGTTAAAATTGCTGTGGTTAGTTGCATTACATGACACAAAACTGTCCTCTACCTCACGTAAAATAAATATTTTATATGGTTTTACTATAAGACAAGACTCATCTATCTGGTCACTTAGTTTACAAATTTTGAATTTCTATTTATTGAAACATGACATACTGTGCTCTTAGCTTATACCTCAATTGTATTTTGTGCTGTTTTCCATTTTCATGCCTTGTAAATAACTTGTATAGATTGTGGATTAAATTCCAAATAAAAACTTTTAATGCCAATGAAATTGAGTGAAGCCATCTCAGTACCCTACTATGAACTTAATTTTCTTTTTCTGAAGATTGACATTTTCTCCTTTTGTTCTCTTAGACTGCTTTTTTTTTTTGGTTAAAGATTGAGCGTTTGACAGATATAATATGGTAACTCTGGAAATCAGACTTTTCCCTCTTCCCCAAAGCTCGCTGATTTAATTATCGAAGGTATGAGAATCCTTTTGTCTTCATTTACAAAAACCATTACTTACTGTGTGTGGTCACTGAAGTGTCTTTTTAAATATTTTTAGCTCATGTTCTTTTTCTCTCCCTGTTCTTTTCCCCAGTCAGTCTTTTGACAGATTACCTAGAATGCCAGCTGTTAAAAAAACAAACCCAGCAACACCAGCAAAAAATAATTTTTAAAAGTAGCAAACCAAAAATGCCCAACCACTTGTGTCTCTAGCTTGACTTCTGGGGATGGCCTTCCACACCTGGCGCTCTGGTCCTGGGAGTTAAGTGAAAGTGAAAGCTTAGGCTTCTCAGGTCTTTTACAGGCAAGCACCTTGTCTGGACACGTATGCAACTTACTAAATTCCCCTGCATGTGGCTACTTTTGAGTACTTTAATTTCCCCACGACTGGCGTCTCTTCCAACCCTTAATTTATTGATAGTTTCTGCTTTTCATCTCTTGTCCCAGGCATCTGTGAGTTTAGTCTACCGGCATCTTTCCAAGCAGTGTGCCCACCGCCCTTTCCACCTAACTTTCAAGCTCTGCACTGGAGAATCCTGGACTTGTATCATTTGAGGTTCTCTCGGAGGCAAGTCAGAACAAATGCACAGAACTCATTTTCAGATGAGTCCTGTTGCTTCAGGATCAAGACTTGCTGCTTGGGGGCTTGGATAGAAAGGGAGTAAAAATGACCCCAAACTTGGCTGTCGTTTGAAGATAGCTTTTTCTTGAGTTGCTATAAACCTTTGACTGTTTTCCAGAGCTTTAATAAAGATAGCTCCGAAGTTGGTTAGAAG